CGGAAAGAAAAAGGTAAGATATTTAAAATTGACTTATCAAATACTAGTGTTGTACTTGAGAAATGTCTAGTAGCCTTTAGCAATGATACCCCAACAAATATTGCATAGAAGGCTAAGACATGTAAGCATAAGCGTTTTAGAGAAACTATCTAGAGTTAACATAGTCTAAGAACTTTCTTTTTTAAGTCAAAAATTAAAAATTTATTTGTAATACATGTGCACTAGGAATACAAACCACCTTCAAAAGCAAATCACATGTAACCATGAAAAGAATACTTTTGCTCATTCACAAGGATATATTTGGACCTTACCAAGCCATGGGTTTAGGAGGAAAACATTATGCTTTCGTTTTGGTAGACGACTACCCTAGGTATACATGAGTCATTTTCTTAAGACACAAATATGAAACTATCACATAATTTTAAACCTTTATCACTAAAATAAAGACAAAATTATCAGTATTAAGAAGAAGTCACAACGTAGCTTAATTTTGTTTGTACTAGCAAATGCACATAGTAACCTAATTGCTTCTATTTTGGCTATTTGTGAGAAGGTTTCTTCAAAATTTATTGCTTCTTCTTGATCATGTTTGCAAACTTAAAAAGGCTCTGTATCGACCGAAACAAGCTCGTAGGGCCTGGTATGAGAGATTAAGTACTTTCCTGTTAGAGCACAATTTCATCAAAGGTTGCATATATACAACTCCCATTCTGAAGCATTCTTTCTTAAGTATTCCCATTGTTCAAACCTACATCGATGACATAGTATTTGGGGAAATATTAGAAAAACTCTGCATTGAATTATGCAATCTCATGCACAGTTCCTTTGAAATAATTATGATGGAAGAACTTACTTTCTTTCTCATTCTCCAAATCCATCTCCAACCGAGATTTTGATACATCATACCAAGCACTTTCTTGATAGAAAAGTATCAAATGTCCTCAGCCAAACCCTAAAAAACTCCTCCGATTGCTACCTCCCTTCATCTAGAACATGATGAACATGGTACCTCTGTTGGTGACACTCTTTATCGAGGTCTCATTGGATCTCTGCTTAACCTAACATCCAGCAGACCAGATATCATGTTCAATGTGTGTCTGTATGCTAAGTTCCAAGCCGATCACAAGCAATCTCATCTAATAACACGTTACCTTGCTGGTACCTTTCCTTGGGACTCTGGTAGCCTTTGTTCAATTTACTAGAACTTATTGGATACTCATACTCAGACTTTGCTGGTTGTCGGACTGATATAAAAAAAATACCCCTAGCAACTGACAATTCCTAGCAGAGTCACTTGTTTCTTGGTCTTCCAAAAAGCAGGCATGTGTAGCGTTGTCTACATCTAAAGCGAAATACCTTTTTTTAGGAAACTGTTGCTTGCAACTCCTTTAGCTCAAGAAAAAGCTGTAGGATTATGAACTCTCTGTCTCTAACCTGCCAATTGTCTGTGATAACTCAAGCGCCATTAGTATGAGCAAAATTCTTGTGCAGCACTCTAGAACTAAACATATCGAAATCAAATATCATTTCCTCTGAGATTTAGTTCAAGTTGGGGTCATTTCCATTTCTCATATTCCTACAGATCAGCAGTTAGCTGATATATTTACTAAACCCCTAAATTATGATCATTTCACCTTTCTTCATATTAATTAATTAGGGATGACAGACGATGCTACTTATCTCTCTAAATAACCACTATTCTAAAATAGGGGTTCCCTAATAAAAATGATATTTGTCTCCACAAATACACTCTGCTTGTTTTCTCTCCTTTCTTATCTCCTAAGCATCGCTTTTTTCATCTCTTTACTCTTATCCCATCCTTTGTCAATGACTATCTCTTATGCTATTCTCACTTATTTCAATGATGACTGTAACCTAGTCATTAGTCAAGAAGATTACCACTCCTTCTCCAGCATGCTCTCCATTATCAGTGAGTATGAGCTTCCTTCTTTACCATCCTTTTCAAATGAAGTTTCTCTCTCATAACTAATCTTGGATGGGAAGGATTCTTCAAACTCCGAGCACCTCATTATTCAGTTTTTTGTCCTTTGGTTGTTTGGAAGTTCTATGACAATTTGCATCGGACAAGGTCAGGTCCCTCTCGGCTCACATCGATGTTTGTAGGGTTGCAGGTCAATTTTGACTCCTAATACTTTCTACCATACTTTGTCTCCAGGGCTTCAACTTTATGACTTTGACTATGATCATGAGCTACAAGAGTTGACTCAGGGGTCATTAAAATATTTGGTCTCTCTGAACCTCTTAAAGTACTCCACTAGCTCATCCCTAGGTTTTTCCTTTCTCACATTACTCTTCTCTTCACCATTGAACATATTGAACTCTTCATTCTAGAAAATGTTGTTCGAGGGAGAAAATTCAATCTTGCCTCACTAATGTATCTTCACAATGTATCTTCACAATGTAACATCACATGGCCAAGATTTCTCTACGCAAAGTCTTATGGGATACTGCTCTTCCCTATGTCACCCTTACCACCCAGTTCCTTACTGAGATTGGGTGTGATCTTGATGGATACTCTGTTAAAACTAGCTTAAGGATAGGTTGACATGTTAAGCAGAAGGCTTGCTGTGTTGAGGGGGAGTACAAACAAGTTTAATATGAGATTATGACCTCGTACATGCTGAGGTCTCTTATATAGTGTGTTCTTTTTTATGACTTTGATGTGTTTCTTTTGATATGATGGCATGTTCTTTCCTTTGCTTTCCCACTTTAGACTTTTCTTGAATTCTTAGCATCTCTTGTTTTGGGAAAAAGAAAGGCTTTCCCTTCTTGCTCCCATCTATCAAAGGCAGCAACCTCGGTTAAATCTCTATAATTTATGTCTCTTGCCATAGATATAAAAGTATGATTGTAGGATCTCCTAAATCAAAGAAAGATCAAAACAAAAATCTCCTAAATCAAATCAAGACCAAGAGAAGATTGTTGCATCAGTGAACTATAAATAGGAGGAAGCAACAAGACAAGCCTCACAGAATGTGGTAGAGAAATCCCACACAAAGCTAGATAAAACGCTTTATTAGCAATATGAGCAAGAAGCTATATGAGTTCAGTGTTTGTATTGCTTGAGTGATTGTGAGGTTGTGTATTTTCTCTCTTTAACGTGAGTTCCTGTGTGGGAGTGAAAAAAGGGTATAATGTTCTATTCTTGTCTTTTCACCCAAAGAGAGTTAGCTTGGAGTTTAGATTGGAATACGAAAAAAACATAGACACTAGGACTCAAAGGGTAAGTCACCTTTGAACCGAAACATAAAGCAATAGGCCAAACTCGATTAATAAAACATCTTGTATACGTGTGTCTCTCCCTACTCTTCTTTATTGTGTGTGTTTGCTTCTCAACAGGAACATTACCTTGTTTATCCAATATTGGATTCAATTTTATTGCTTCTACAATGAGTCGTGGAGAAAATGTAGATGACTTGTTGAACAATCGTAGGAAGCACCTTCAAAGGCAGAAATTCGGATCTAGCTTGATAGCTCTTCGAACAACTAGCATTGAGCGAGCACGATTGGGAAGATGGAAGAGGAAGCAAGACTTTTAGAAATGGATAAGTGCTCACCACAAATCACCTCATTCCCATCATGAAGGGTGTTGACTTTCTAATGAGCCAATTCGAAGTGTTGAGTAGCCGCAACAATGGGAATAGAGTGATGACCTAATAAATTGTTGAAGAGAAAATCTATATAATGGGCTACAATACAGAGAACTCAAATACTCTGTAACAACCAATTTTGTTTCTCTATTGGAATGAAAGTCTTACTTATGATGGCACGATGAGTATTGACATCACTCACTCTAAGTAGGACTGCAAATTAGCCAAGTTGAGTTAAATTTGGACTAATCGGGCTTAGCTCATTAATAAATTATTTAAACGCAAGCTCGACTCGCTTGCTGAAACCTTGAATCGAGTTTTGCTCAATTTTGGCTCATCAATAAACTCACCATCTCTATTCGACCCCGTATCACCAATCAGCTCGCAAGCTAATTAAGTGCATTTAACTTCCTAAATATTTGAACCCAAAACTAAATTCTAAAATAATATCAAATATCATAATATTTGTACGTCATATGTGGTACATGTGACTAATGTGAAGATGAAAAAAGAATAATAGTCACGTTTTCAACATTCATTGATCTTATATTTATATATGTACTTTGTAGGTGTCATATATTTAATCATATTATGTTATTTCATAGTAATTGGTATATAAGCAATTTATATACATGATTTCTTTCTTAAAATTATAAATTATGCACATTTGTTCACCTACTTGAAGTCTAAAAGATCATTTATGACGAGATATCTAATCTAACAAACATATAAATTATTAACAAGACAACTAATAAGCTATAGATCGATTCATTCATAAGCGGCTAGTAAAGCTCGTTTGCTACTCACTATGTTGAGCCAAGTCAGAGGCTCAAAACGAGCTAGTGTACGAGTTGAAGTCAACAAGTCATCGAGTTGATCTGGCTCGCAAGCCCCGCAAGTGAAACAAGAATGAGTTCAGACTCGCATCGTTAATAAACGAGTTGAGTATAAAATGAGTGTTCCTAAACCAAAAGCCGAGCCACTTCTAAGTAGCTCAACTCATTTGAAGTCCTAACTCTGAGGGTCGATTATGTTTTATGAATAGGGAATCTTGTTTTCTTTTTTGCAGTAACTAGCTAATTCATAGAGATGGCTTAAAATGTGACGTTACACATGCAAAAGATGATGTTATTGGTCTATATTCCAATAAGGAAAAAGGGTTGAGCTTAGATTAGATGCATGCGAGGTGAAATAGGTTATCTTTAAATGTGGGATATGGATTAGATTCATGGATTTGTAGATTGAATCATATGAATTTATATTTTGGATTTATATAGATGGGTTGATTGGATTCAAAGAGTGGATCATGACAAACTTTCTAGTTTTAGTACTCTATATTTATTTTCTTACAAATAAGAATGGTGAAGATATTCGATTATAAAAAATTCATTAAACCTTTGAAACGCAGAGATGTGACGGACAAGTATCTACTTGCGTTTGGACAAATGGAGCGATTAACATTCTTTGAGGGAGCTGGAGGGGACAATACAACATAGGGACGACTACGATGTGGATTACAAAGTTGGAGAGGGAGGCGGCGGAGATGTCAACAGTGTTGGTCTTGAAGTTGATAGTGTTTGGACAATCGGAAAATCGACGTTCTTTCGGCGAGCTAGAAAGGGGATGGTAAACAACATCAATTGGGATGGAGACGAGGTAGGTTCTGAAGTTGGTAAGCAAGGGGCAAGGTGGATTCAAGTTAGAAAAGTAGGCGGCAAAGACACCACCAATGATGACCTTGAAGCCGGTGGTGTCTGAGTGAACGAAAATCGACATTCTTTGGTGGTGGCGAGATCGCTATGAGGTTTTGGATACTTTCAGACGTTTTTATTTTGAAGGATAAATTGGTTTGGTAAATGAATGTGTTTAGATTTTTTAAACACTAAACAATTTAGGTTATGAGTTAGCATGGTTATTGATTTTTTTAGTTATCACAGTAGCTACCAAACTCTATACTATTGATTTTCCTCTTCTTTAATTAATGGTCAAGATTGTTATAAGAATATTTTTGAAAACGAACATAATACCACATAGAATTATTACTCTTTAAAATATGATTTTCCATATAAATCTCTCACCCCAAACCCTAGCAAATCCTCTCTACTCTTTCATCCCCAAACCCTGCCTCCCTTCGTCCGTCGCGAAGCAACTTGTCGCCAACTCCTACCCGCCGCCCTCCCCCTGCCGTTCGTCCCCTTCCTCCTGTGCCTCCCTCCGCCACTTGCAAAGCAGGCAGGTGTCACCCTCACAATTGTTTTCATTTCTCCCCCCCACCCCATTCTTCTTTATTTTCGCATCGTTCCTCTGCATCCTAAACCACTCTTTTGCCAAGCAGGGCCTATAATTACCTCTCCTGCTAGATTTCATGGGCTACCCATACCAATGTATTATTCACCTCGATACAGAACAAGTCTGTTCCAACCTTTAATGGTATTATTTATTTCTGAAATGGTTTTGTTTTTGTTTTTATAGTATTAGTGGTATTAGTTAATGTTGAGATGGTATTGTTTTTTTATTAATTTCATCTTATTAGTATTGGTAAAAATCTGCAATGGTATTGGCTAATATGTATTGATATTGATTTTTTCGTATTGATATCGGTTTAATATGTAATGGTATTGGTTAATATGTATTGATATTGATTGTGTCGTATTGATATCGGTTAAATATGCAATGGTATTGGTTAATATGTATTGGTAGTGTTTAATATTGCAATGGTATTGATTTTCGTGCAATGTTATTAGTATTTTTTTTCTTAGTTTTTGTTATAATTTGGTAGTAATTACTTGTTTATTTTTTAGTGGTATTGGTCCAAATATAGAAGAATAGAGAAATTGAGAAAAGAGTGGCCTGGGATTAAGGATGGCTATGGGGTGGGGTTTGGGACGGATTTGTCTAAACCATCCTCATCCACATTTCCAAATACCTAAACCGATATACCCGCCACATACCCATGCAGGGTATGTTTTGCAAACCCATTCCCATACCCGTGGGTCTCGTGTACCCTTGGATAATACCCGCCCCGTACATACAACATTATCATACCTTAAATTTTACAAATTTTTTTTAATTATAACACTAAACAAACCTGTTATATCATGAAGTCAACAAAAGACGGTCCTTTTCTTAATACGGTTCAAAGAATATGATCCAAAACATCCATTAGTACATAATATAGAGTACAATATTTTCCAAATTATTATGGTCCAACTCTAATACATATACTAAGTAATAATTAACTAACATAATCTTGTCGACAAGGGGGAAAGTGAAAGAGTGAAGGGAGAATAGAGGGAAATGAATTAGATTTTGATTAAGGTGGTCATACAATTGCATTTCTACTATTTATTATCATTGATAGTGGGTAAATACAATTTAATATCCAAACCTTTCATTTTAAACAATAAAATAGCCAAACCTTTTCGAAAACAATCTAATATCCAAATCATCAACTTTCCGTCCATTTGACCGTTAGTTAACACTTCAAAAAAGTTCGAAGTACGACACTTCATCAATATCCATCGATATCTTCTCTGAAAAACCACCAACATATCGTGGTTCCAAACCCGAGAAGTCTATGACTCCACCATGATGATATAGAATATCTTAATATTCAGTCATTTGCAATACCAAAACAAGAAAACAAAGTTGTATTGTGACAATTTCCCCTAAACAAAGCTTTTTTGAAGTGTCAGCTAACGGTCAAACGGACGGAAAGTTGACGATTTGGATATTAAATTGTTTTCGAAAAGGTTTGGCTATTCTATTGTTTAAAATGAAAGGTTTGGATATTAAATTGTATTTACCCATTACAATTTGATCCACGTATTTTTTTATGCATGAAGAAATATTCTTGGTGGGGTGGGTATGGGTAATGGGGCGGGGAGGCTAAAATCATACGCGCCCCATACCCATCAAAGTTTTTGCAAGTTTTACCCATACAATCCCCGCTTTGACTGGGTCGGGGATGGTCGGATACCCGCGGCTATGGATATGCTTGCTTTCCCTATCAGGGATGGAAAAAAAGGCGACGAAATCAATTAAGTGAGAGAAAGAGAGAGCTATTTGGGGGAGAGAAAATTTTAATTAATATGTATTTGTAACTTTTCATTTTTTAATTTAATAAACAGGTAATTAATAAATATTATTTTTCATACGTAATTTGTCCTTAATTAGTAATCACGGTGACTACTGAAAATTAGTAATCACCATGACCCCTCCCGATGATTGGTGGATCATTGTTAAATCCATAAATTCAATTCGTTAATCACCATGACCCCTCCCGATGATTGGTGGATCATTGTTAAATCCATAAATTCAATTCGTCAATTCATGAATTAAATAGATTTGGACTATATAAATTGAATAAATTTAATTGAATTTAATTGAATTGGATCATTACTGTCGCCTCTAATTATACGTTCGGTTGGTTTGAGGTTAGCTACATAGCAAAACCTAGTGTTGGTTGGTTTTGCCACAGAAGATATGAAATTAAAATTCTTGTTTACGTGGCCTATATATTATATGCTTCTGATCATTCGATATTCAAAGGTGACAATGGAAATGATGTTTTTGATTGCTCTACTCAGATAAAGATGAGGTGCTTAATTTTAATGGATTCCAACTTGAAGAAAAAGAATGATCTCAAAATTTTTGAACAATTTATTTTCCCTATTATATATATTCCCATATATTTGTTGGATTTTGCTACGGTGACATGACATGGACTTTTCGGTCGACCTAATCATAAAGGCGGTCGACCGAATTGACTAATTTGGGCAGCACGAGAAAGCATTGTGGTCGACCTAATCCTACAGGCGGTCGACCTCAATTCATAGCATAATTGATGAGTCCTTGTTATCATTATTTATGACTAGTTATGATGGTTTAAAGCGTAATTTAGACGAGCAAAAGAACCACACAAATCGACATACATAAGCAAAAAAGACACGGGGTATAGGTTGACTTTCTTGTATTCGGTCGACCTCGTACCGGATTAGGTCGACCTCGACACCAACACTTGATCTTCATTTTACGTCAAATGATTGGATTAATTGATAGAACACTTATCGTCTATCTGGTCGACCTCTTTCTTTATCTGGTCGACCATGTTGTTAATGACTGCCATCAAGTGGTCGACCTATATACCTTTATGGTCGACCATGTTGTTTCCGACGCCAACGAAATGGCCGACCGAGGTTTATTCTGGTCAACCAAAAATAACAACTTAAACTAAGAACGGTCGACCAGGTGGTCTTTGAGGTCGACCGCAATGCTTTATCGTGCTGCCCAAATTAGTCAATTTGGTCGACCGCCTTCAGGATTAGGTCGACCGAAAAGTCCATGTCACGGTGACATGCATGTCATAGTAGGCATACCCATATTTCTTTTACAGACGTTTTTGTAAATGTATTATATGCACAAGTTATTAGCTGTCTCGCTTAATTAGCTTCATAAAGTGTGGTTCTTAGTGATAGCACAACCCAAGTACCTCATTCTCGTATTTTAGCTAAGATTTTGAGTAAGCAGGAAATGAATTTATTATGATATTAACTAGATAGTTCGAGAGTACCTCATAAAATGTAAGTTTTACTAGAATGTGATCATAATAGCACTAATACATCGAATTCCATCAAAACTTCGAAGTTTTACGAACTGAAGTTGTCATCCGAATTATGAGCTGAAGTTGTCATCCATCGATATCTTCAAGTTGTACTGTAAAGGCAAAAACTAAAGCACTAATGCTTTAAAGCATTGTAAATTTCCTCAGCTTTGATATATAGAGTAGTAAAATTGAGTTAATATTATATGATCTTAACTTTATCTTCTAACATATTCATCAATCTTTTCATTAATTAATATCGTGCTCAAAAGTATCATCAATAATTACTTATTTGGTCAAAACTGAGTGTTGACCGTTATATTGGACGGTTAACCTACCATGTCATCGCTTGATAAGCATAAATAAATTTGAAAAATTCAAAATTTTAGAAATTATCAAATGATGTGAATACACCTCATTAATTCTCAAAATGACGCAATTTTTATCTGTATTTATCTCTTATTTACTACGACGACGAAGAATCAAATTATCACTATATTTATTCCTTTTTCTACTTCTTCCAAGTTCAGGATAATCCTAAGGGGTTGCGGGTTTTTTCTACGGGCCCTACATCATAATTCTCTTAACCCTACATATTAAAAACTAAGATGGCAAATTTAGTATGTTGGATGTAATTCAAAGAATCAGAACAAACAATTATTATTTCGAATCAAAATTAAGTTAGAGTATGGAATTTAGAGAATTAAGCCTTGTATTTTACTAATTAGGATTTAGGAATTAGTATCATATTTCGAACTCTAGTTAATTTAAGGTCTGCATAACTTTTTTTACTAAGAATATGAAGTACACTCATATTTACTCAGTTATTGTAACACCTTAGGCGAATCCCACATCGACAAATCACGAGAGAGATCCATGGTTCAAAGTAAGAAACCGACATTAACTGACAAGACGCGTTTTGGGGTGTAATGGAAGAGTTCTTATGAGAACTCCGAAGTTAAACGTGCTCAGTGTGGACTACAACAAGGATGGGTGACCTTATGGGAAGTCACCCTGAATTGCACCCCAAGTCGAAATCCGTGCGGGTGTAGAGGCCCAAAGTGGATAGTATCTTGTCGGGAAAAGGTTCGGGATGTTACAAGGTGGTATCAGAGCCTCTTCGCGTCGCTCTTGAATGATGGTGGGGCAAACCTCAAGGAGGGCGTTGAGTCCC